AGATATCCACAAAGCCCACAGGCAAAGTGTCTCTTTACCTCATGCCAGTCCAGAGCAATAGCAGATTGTCATCCTCTATCAGTTAATTCATCAGCTCTGGTGGCAGATGTCTATGTGGTGGATGTAAAGGTTCCAGCCCAGCTGATGACTCAGATTTCAGCATGCTGGGGCTTCATTTCATCTGTATGTTTGGTTTGAATCAATGAAAACTTTCACCTGGAATAGTATTAGAAGTATGTAAAGGCTGCAACATCAAGCCCTCCAAAGTCAGAAATGGAAACAGAAAGGTTGTCTATGCAGAAATCATTTAGGACTTTGGCATATGTGTGTATTACAAAGGAGATGACAATTAATGAGCACACCCTAGGTGGGTATGTTTGTGGTTTCTTTTCTTTTTGGTCAGGTCTCCAGCTCACTTAGGGCACATGTGAATAGTGTCTAACATAGGAATCATTTGCATGTAGGACTCTGGCTTCAGTGACAACAGGAGGTGAAAAACAGGCAGAATAGAAGACAGATGCAAGAAGACAAAGTACAGTGTTGCAATGAGAGTGCCTGGGAGCACTGCATCCCATCTCTGCATTTTCATTTGGGGAGGGCAAATCACTTGAAACAGATTCTTCCCAAGCAGTCAGTCACTGCCTATTCCTTGTCTTCTAGGTCCTAAGAACTCCAAATGACAGAAATAGTCTATCCCAATCTTCCTTGGAGAAGGAAGAGGTAGAAATGAGACAGTGACAGTGAACTTTCAAGCCTTGGTGAATGACATGAAACAAACCCGATCCCAAGCATCTTAACTTACCTATCTCAAATGAGAGGTACTTTGATCATAACTGTCTCTTCCTCTGTATCCTATCCATACAAGGATAATGTATTTGTGTCACAGGGGTCCCCCAAAAATAACCAACACTTCTGAAATGCTCTCAGGTTATAGCAACGAGCAAAACAAAAAAGCCCTGTCTAGCATAACAATTCTATCCTCAAAGCAGGGTCTGAATAGCACACAGTAAATACAGGACAGGGCTGCACAATGAACACTGAAGCTAAAACAAAACACTGAATAGCTGCTTGTTATGTGAAAGTTTTCCATTTGGAGAACTCAGTGAGGCAGGCGTCTAACTGAGAGAATAACATGAGCCCCTATGATTAAAGACCATAATACAATGCACATACTCAAGGGGACTGAGCTGACACTGAACACACTACCTAAGTTCACTCATTAAATCAGTTTTAAAGAGTGCATTTGCTTGTCGGGAAAAGCGATGGATGGCCACAGGAGACCTGTCCAACAATCAAGCAGTTCTTCTGCTCTCTCTGTCTCTGAGGTTTCATTTTATCCCAGAGATAAGGACTGTTTGATCTCCATAGACCATCCATATCCTGATCTTGCCAGTACTGAGCACTTAATCCTCAGTCCAAAACATTTAGGCACCTGCTTAACCATAAGCACACAAGGAATACTGCTGAATTCAGTCAGATTGTTCACGTGCTTAAAGGTAGCTGCGCATATATGCTTTATTAGATTCCTTACCTAGACATTCATTCTCCAAAGAACTCTCTACACGAAGTATGCTATCATGCCCAAGCAGAACTTCCTGGCCCCACAGTTCATCTGTTGGAACAGCTCATATCAGCATCCTTTGATGTACATCAGACAAAAGTCAGTGGACTTGGTTTAAACAATTCATTCATCTTCTGAGCTAATTCTGCTAACCTGCTCCAGCATGAACAGGGGAACCATCTACTTGTATAATTTGGTGGAGAAGTGGGAAGGTAGTGATGTCTGGCATTTGGGCAGGGAAAGATACTGAAGAACAGAAATATCTTCAGCCAACAACACATTATCTAGAAGAGCAAGTCTGTCACTTCAGTCTCATCTGCAAGACTGACACCACTAGAAACAGTTGAGAATATCCCCTCACTTCAGATAGGCCAACACAATGACAGTGACTTACCATCAGGAGTGATTGTTTCAAAATCAGTGACATGAAGATCAAAAGCTTCCTATTGTTCTCTGATTTCTTGACCCATCTACTCCCTCCTAAAGATGATATGGTCATTATGGAATTTGAAACATTTTAAAAATAAAATAAGCACACTTTGTAAAACCCAGAAGAACAGAGAACCACAGGTGTTTTGGTTTATTTTTATACAGTAGCTACTGTAAGCACTTAGTCTTGGACCATTCAGTGCTGGAATCACTGTAGCTATGGCACTGTGTGTGCGCTTCATACCCACTTCACTCATTTCTGTGTCAGTCATCCTCCGCCTCCAGAATGAACTTTTTTCAAAGGAAACAGCTTATCTTCCATACTGCAGCAGCAGAAGAAAAATCCTCCTATACAGTAATATTTAAAATGTGTTTTTATGCTCTTATGGCAGCTAATTTTCCTTAAATGATTTAAGGGAATGAATACATCTAAAAGGCCTGCACTGAGCCATTCTGCAATAGCAACATGAAGCTGAACTTCCTCTGCTTTAAAGGGCAGCTCCTCATGGCAGATCTTGCCTAGAATGGATGAAGGTTATTTTTTATGACATTGTTTTGCAGGGAACCTTACTTTGCTTTTTATTTCATTTCCTATTCCGCAGTGTTGGGAGACTTCAGGTGAGAAGAGGGTGGCAGAACCAACATGTTCAAATGCTTAATCCCTGATCTGTTGCAGTTTGACAACAGCCCCCCTGCAACTGGTTCACCTATGCATACAGCCAACCATCTGTCATGCGTTACTCATCTAAAAGTTACACTCGGCACCTGGACAGTACTTAAAGTCTTTAGCAGCCTGAAGTGATTCAAAGCAGGTTTTTATTCTGGCACTCTGTCAGGAGGGGAGGGATGAGTTTTTTATCTCAAGTACTTAATAAAACCAGTCACTGCTAAAGCAGAACGGCACACGTAAGGTCCCATGCCTGCTGAGGCAGCTGGCAAGTTTTCCACTTTTGTCCCAGAACTTTGGATATTGTGTCTGTTCCTACAAATATTAGTTGGATCAGAGTGACTAAGAATCTGGTCTTGCCTGAAAAAAACAATAATTCCTTATACTGCATTGTATTGCTGAGGGTCTATCAGAAAGGCTGGTATTGACTAGAGCATGATAAAACCAGACAAGAAGATTTTTTTGGTGAGTAGCTAATTCACTGAGAAATGAAACTCTAAAGAGCCACATGAACTTTGCTGATAGTTTAATCAAAAAAAAAAAAGACTCCTAAATAGTAATAAAAAAGAAAAACAAAAACCCTGAAAATTAACTCTATCCCAGCTGAAACCAGGAAAAAATGAAATGTTGCATTTGTGTTTGAAAGGCTCCTTTTGCTTTCCCTCAGAAGGAAATGGACTGGAACTGGTTCTCTCAGGTTGATCACCGGGGAAGGGTAGGAAAGAGAAATGGAGGAAAAAAAAGATTTCCATTTCAGACCAACTCTGACCGAACATTTCTTTTGATTTTTCATTTTAGCCACCACAGCAAATAAATGCATTCTTCACACACAGGGCAGCTGGAAACTACCAGCTTTCCAAAGCTTCCCAGAAATGGGACAAAGCTGAAAAGCATTTCCCCCCTGCCCCCAAGAATAGCTTTATTTTACTGACAGTGACTTTTAATAGTGCCAGGGTTTGTTGTTTTACTAGCTAGAAGCATTCCCCTACACCCAACTTTCTTGTAATGCTTAAGGACCTCTTTATTCTTGGAAACAAACTTTGTTCTCAGACAAAGCAGCCTGCGTGCTCTCTCCATCATCTAGAAGGAAAACTGTCTTGCTATTTGGGGTAGGAAACAGAGGAAAGACCAGGCTGGCTGTAAAGTTCCTTTCTTTAATTTCCATCATCATCACTATAATACAGCAGGGCTTAGGCACCTTGGTGACAGGCACAATGCTAGGTGCTGCACAAACACCATTCAAAGACAAATTCTGTGCCAAACAATTAGCAATCTAAGAAAATATTTTCCATGCAATTGGATTCCACTCCATATATAAGGACCTTATCTATTAACCTATCCTCCTTGTACCTAAAACCCCTTCCATACAGGTATTGTTACTATCTGGAAAAGAAAAAGTCTAATTAAGATGTACTGGGAGAACCAGGAGTTAAATTAAAGGAGCTCTTATCCTATACATGATGTAGCCAGGGGTAAGAATCCTCTTTCTTTATTAGCAAGGCAAACCAGGTCCTTTTTCACACTAATAGAAAGAAAAAAAAAAATCAGCAAAACTTCAGGGAATTAAAGATCCAAATGTATCTCCATAATGGGAAGTAAAAAGAAAGAACAAATACCAGGAATTCCATACAGACAAAAAAATCATTTACAAAATCTCATCTTATTTTTTTGGTAGTGATTTTTTCCTACCCATCTCCATCTTTGTTCAGCAGTTTTTCTTAGGTGCTACGTTCAATAATCCTTCTGCGCTTTGATGTCAAACATTCAATAGCTGTCTGCCTCCCTCCCAGTCCTCTTCTCCATATTCTCTGCAATCCATCTCCTTTGATTAGCTAAGATTTCACCTTCAAGAACACTTCTGCTTCTCTGAGTGAGCAGGAGTGTGTGCGTGTGTGTTTATATAATATTTGCAAATATTATCCCCCTCCCGCTCTGCATGCTACATAGCAACCCCTGCCGGCGCTCTGGATTAAACATCAATGCCATTCAGTAATTCAATTTGGGGGGCCTGCTGTTTTGAATCCAGCTCAGGACATCATGAGAGCAGCTCGATTGAATTTAGGCTCTGCTTTCAGAATTATTCCATGTTTAATCTGAGCTGAACTTCATTTCACTTGCTCTCTCCACTCTGATGCATCCTGTGACAAAAGACGCAAATGGTCCCTGATCTCATGCAGTGGGGGTGGTGTTTGCTTATTTCTCTTTTATTTTGGTTTGCCAAAATAAGATTTGGCAAGATCTGGATTAAGCTACGTCAGAGTTACTGGCATCTTGCACAACCCCGCAGCGGGAGAGTCGGTACCTCAACAAGTGGCTGTTCTGATATCGCCTTTGCCCACTCACCGGATTGTTGTACATCTCTATGATGAGCCGTTTCACTCCGTGCAGTGTGGGATGAGCCCAGGGAGATGGATTTGCCCAGTGCCGGTTTAAATCAAACCCCATCAGGGAGCACCTGCACACACACAAAAAAATCACACACAAAGGGCATATGTGGGTTGCAGCCTCTTCTGGCTTCAGCTGCAGAATTAAGGCTATATTCTGCAGCTTATGTATTTAAACAAGTTATTCTCATGGAAAAAAGCAACAACAAATGCTCCCCCGAGGAAAGCCTGCAGCAATGTCCACTTTTAGAAATAATGTGAACAGCGGAGAATCAACTGAAACATCTTTGGTCATTCAGCCTTCTGCCCCTCCACACCGCATATGCTCACACTATCCTTTGCTTTTTGCCAGCTTGCCACGCTGGCACTGGAAGAGCCTTCTTGGCCTTCAAGGGTCCCTTCTCTTCCATGCTCTAACTCGGGGTCTATAGCTATGAGGATGATTCATAAACTGCACTACTAGGCCTTTACTTTGCCCCCAGTCAGGACTTGACTCAGCAAAGCTGTTAAAAGCATTGAAATCAATGGCCATTAAGTATGTGCTTAAAGGATTTAGAGCATGAATGTAACTGTTCCACTAACCCAGGGCCTCAGTCTCTTCCCCTCCTATGATTGCCTGCACAAAAGTTAGCCAACCAAGACACTAAGTTAAAATGCTTATTGGTCATGAAATCTTGTGGGCGTTGAAGCATGTATGCCACCTTGCCTTCTCCTTCCTGCCCTGACTCATCCCTCTCAGTACATTGTCTTAAGTTTGATTCTGCTGCTTCCAGTCCCATGGAGTAATATCCCATTCTTTGTGAAGTCCCATTGAAACTCAATGGGCTGTTGGCAGAGAGAACACAGAATAAATTAAAAAGATGGAAGTGGCACAAATAAGCGAGGGAAATAATGTCCCTTGTCTACCACAGAGATCCCCTGGACAATCTGTGGCCACAGATACAAGCCATCAGAGAAGTCCCTTCTGTCATTTCAAGCTGAGCTTGGGACCAGTGGACCTTGGGTAGATCTTGCTCAGGAATTCTATGAAATACCACACAAATAATAAAAGCCCAGATGCAACTTCCTCTATATTTAAAACAAACACACACACGAAAAAATCAACCTCAATGCTAAGTGTTAAAGCTTCTTGAGAAAAGAAGAGCTTTCATTGATCCCTGATCTGTTATGAGAATGTCTGTTCAGCCTTAATCTTTTAAACACAGCTATGCAAACAATAGAGGTTTACTCCAGTAGCACTATCCTTCAAGAAAAATTCTAAGAATCTGATGACTGAAAAACATAAGTTTAATTGCAAAAAGAAAGGAAAATGCCTCACTTCTGTCACAGCTGAAACAAATGATTGCATACATCAAACCCAAATAAAAACTAGGAAAGAGAGGTGAAATGCTAATAAATGCTAAGAAAAGTGAGGGAATGAAACCAGAGGATTAAATTAATTTCCAAAAATAATGAATGAACATTTTCCTATGAAACAAAAATACAAAGTTAACAGGACGTTCTGCTGTAAGAATTCTTATGGGAATCTAAGCAAGCAGGAGCTGCCTTGCTCCTTGACCTTAGACAACGCAGCCACTAGGCTGTCTGCGAGTTCAAACACCCAACTGACAGCTCTGCAACTCTGTCACTGCTGACTTGGCGTACAGATGAGCCGGATGGCTCACGGTGGTGGAGAAAGCTACCTCCTTGTCTTGGTGGTCACTTGTCTGCTTGTTTAAAGAACAGGTGGATTTCTCCTCTGGACACTCCAACAGCTACAGTTTCACAGACAAGTCCGAAAGTTGTCTCCATCCCACTATAAAGCAAAACACATTATATAAGATTTCTCTATCTTTTTTTGTCTTCACATAACCTCTCTCCCCACAGTTCTACTAAATCCTATCTTCTATTGAACTCACAGACATTAATATAAAATCAGAAATACTTCCAGAGACATAGGTGGAATTACACTGGGATAAAACCGGTATAAGAGCAGAATCACAGGAATGAGTTTTTCATTTAACAGATGCAGAAACTGTGGTGATTATCGTAAGTCTTACTGAATTTTGGTACAGTTCCCAAGAAAACAGCATGTTCCATCTACAGGATAACTTTAAGATATCAGAACCTGAAATCACATCCCCGTATACAGTTAATGTGTCCCATTTACATTTTGTTTTAAGAATATTTGAAACTAATAACACTACAGAAAACAAGTATATTATGATTCCATTATGTTCTCCATAATCTCCAAAACACATTGAAGTGGCCAAGCTACAGACCACCAAAAGCAAATTTTAAATGCAAACATGGATTGCCAATATTAAATTTGGGGTTTGGGACTTTTTAGATAACTTTATATGTCATCCCTATAGTGAACAGAAGTAAGCAATATCTAATTTCTGTAAGATACTAAGGCATTGCAACTTGCAATATTTGGATTTGCCATGAATGTCTGGTCAGTGATGAATCTCACAGTTCATTTCAAGCAACAGGAACAGTTGAAAACGGTTGTCTTTACTTGAGAAGACTTTATAAACAGAAGGAATCAATGCTTGACAAACAAGTTATTCATTTGGGAAGCTCCTCTGAGCTCTATTTAATAGGAACCCAAATTAATTTCCAAATATCATTTAGCTAGTCTTTGATGTGGTATATCACATCTTTATCAATGTAATAACAATTAATTAAATTTCTGGTGTAGGCATTACTATTTCTTTCCAGTCGGGGAACAGTGTTAAATTTTCTTCCCCCATCCCCACCCCGTTTTTAAGTTTCTTTTCTTTCCTTTTTGCCTAAAGACAAATTTGTATCTACCTCATTCTCTCTTTACTCATCTGTTGCAAACTTGTGGTCTCTCTAAGGAAACATCAAGTTGTGTTCCTTGGTACTTCAGATTTGATTATTGACTCTATTACATGTAGAACTGTCTCCCAAAGCTCACGTATATCAGGACATGACCAAAACATACGGTAAGAGTCTCCCACATGCCTATTACAGATCCTGCATTCATTATATTGTCTTGTTCCCAGATGATGTGATGTCCCTTGTGGCTAATACTTCCAATGCAAGAACTTGAACAGGATAACTTAAAAATTGCATCTTGCACTTGTTTTCTAATTTCCCCTACCAATCTTAAACCAGCTAATTTCTAGTACACATTGCTTGCTACTTCCATTGCTTAACTGTTTACCTGTTTAACTGTTTACCTGCTGCTTCAAGCACTGGGTAGGCTAAAGTAGAAATGTAGGTATAGTCTGGAAACAGCGGCTCTACGATGGGAAACAACTGTGTTCCAATGTAATACAGGATCTTTCAATATTTAAGACCAGCTCTTACTCAGACTGCAAGTATTGTCACTGGCTTCAGTACGGTTCTTCATGTGACTGTAAGTGTTCCCCAGATTTAGAAAGGGCCTCCAAATCTGTCCTATACAGATTAGGTTTATTTTGTGCAGTAAATAAACTAATGTGTTCAGTACAAAATTAACAAGGGGAAAAAATGCTAAATTATATCAAAGGACTGTTTAAGGATGATCTTTGAGAGGGCATATAGAGGAGAGCAAAACAGGAGACACTACAGACTGAGAGGTGCAATGGAAGACAAAAGCAGCTTCAAAATAATTTCCAGAGTAAGGGCACTGGAGAATCCCCCATTCCATGAGGTTTAATGGCCATGCCCATGAATGCTTTTACAAATGTGGCAGGTAAGATTGTCACAGAGACAGATAACAATGACATGCTGGCACAGACGTTCATAGGTTAGAAAAAAGTATAATCAGAAGTAGGTGAGCTTTCTACAGCAAGCAAAGTAGCAAACTGCTACTATTAACTGATTGCCTTGTTCATTCATACAGTGAAAACCTGGGTTATGTGTCACATAGTCATTGCTGCCACAAAAGATGACGTGTATGCAATTTAAAATATTTAAGGTGTTAACAATTGTTTGAATTTTGGATTATGCTTCTTAGGGTTTGCTAGATATACAGACCACATACTGTGTTTCTGCTTTGTGATTGAACGGACATTTAAATTGGGTTCAGTGACTATTCTTGTTGAATTAGAATTTGTGTTTCACAAATGTTCTCCAGCCTTTTTCTAAAATTTCCGTTTTTTATAAGTAGATAAATTTATTACAGTGTTTGTAAATTTACATAAACACAGTGCAAATTCAGTCAAAGCAAATGAGTTTCAAAATTGAAATGGAAACTGAAACATTTTGCAGTATTCATCCCTCCCTACTTGGGAGACAGCCAGATCTCAAGAGGTTACCAGCTCAACTCAGTAAAACCAAAAGATGTTCAGATCAGCATTCAGCTGGCTGGGCAATTATCTGGACAGAACCTCCTTGTTTCTGGGGGCTTAACTCATCACTGGTTTTAAGGATTTCTTATGCAGCTGCTTTAATGAAAACATCCTTGCCCCTTTCTAAAACTAAGGAAGGTTTATTATCAAGCCCTATGTTGGGTTTATTTTTAGGGCTGCTTCCTATTCTTTCAAGTTGTGCCTCTTCTTTCTGGAATCTCCAAGTTACAGAAACCTCCAGGAACTCTGCCTTCCTTTCACTTGCAGTTCTCCCTCCCCCTGTTCATTTTTCCTACTATGTGAGTCTAAGTCAGTCACTAACAGACCCATTTCCACAAGGTGAGATATGGAGAATAATGGGGGAAAGGAGTTAAAGAAATCCTTTTTCATGGCATATGATTTATTACAAAGAGAAGTCTACACTCTTCCCTTCAGCTTTGTAAGGTTGCGTTGGTTCATTGGATCAGTACCAGGTGAATCTCCAGATAATACAACGCACAAAGCCAGGGAGTTCAAATCCACAAATGGCACTACCAACAGGGTTAGAATTTGAAATTGAAAAGGGGGGGGGGGGGGAATGCGTGTGCACTCACTTCTTTTTTTCCTCAGCTTTATTGCAATAAGAGTGGAGACAGAGGGTAATTGGTCTCTATTGTTGCACTTCTTCGAAGCAAGGTTATAGCAAGAAACTGCTGTGAGACTGCAGCCTGCAATATCATGCAGGAAGAGTAGGTGTGCAGTATGAGAGAGCAAATACAAGGGGAACACATGGAAGACTTGCTTCTTTT